ACCTTTGCTAAAGAGCTCCATTTAATACTAAAAATTAATATGTTCATTATGAAAGCTCAAAGACTAATAAGGATCAGAAAGAAACTTTATATGTACCACTTGTACTTCCATTTTGGGCATTTACTAAGGTGTTCTGTAGACTGGAGAGGAGTTATAACCAGTTACCAAAACTCCCGTTACAAGATTTTGAAAGGCATACACATGAGTAGGCTATCCAAGTTCATAAGACTCCTCTGTATAGCAGACTCATTCTTCTGGCTGGATTTTCCATGGAAGAAGCACACAAATAATTTATTCCCAAATTTTTTCATCATATATTACTAAGATACAAGAGTAACAGTACTCCTCAGTAACAGTAATTTTCTAAAGCTTCTTTTAATCTAACATTGATCTTTTTTGCCTGTGGATTTCTGTCTTTTGGGGAAAAAAACTCCAGCCATATAAAAACAGAGCTGTATAGTGTGCTTCACAGACATGTCATGAAAAGCAAATAAGTCATAAACAAGCATATTCATTTATTTACCACAAAAAAGAGAATCCCTGCCACTGCAAAAGCAGAAATCAAGCCAACAAAAGGCAAAGTTAGACTTTCATTAACTGAGTATTTTTGCAAAAGCTGCATATTATTGCTCTTCATTTTAAAAATTGCGATATTGCATGCAAAACCCAACAGAATTGTCTGGTTTTAGCAGAAACAGAACCATCTGGTGGGGAGGGAAAAAGCACACACACACAATAAAAATCCACAACAAATAAATGAACAAAAAGACCTCCACAAACAAACAAAAATTTAAAGTTTAATGCCTAATCTATGTTTTTCTGTCTTAAAGATTAAGACAGTCTTTTATACTCACTAATTCATAAAAAGAAATACTACTTAACCCATAGCCCTTTTTGATGGATTTCAGGCACAGATGTTTTTCAGTAATTTTCTTACAGCTGCTTACACCTGAACCTACCTTAAACAAGGTAATTGCTTGAACAACCAGTTCTTCATACTGTCATCATCTCAGTAATGGTCAACAAACATGTAAAACCAGCTAATAAGCTGCAGCATTGCTAAGGTTCCCATGTTTCTTTCCATAATCAGTCAGTAGATGTATTTTGGTCTACTGCGTTCATAACCAACATATTTCAGGTTATTTTGTTCAGATACTTCTAATCATGTGCAAATAGACCTCACAAACCAGCATGTATACAAAATATTTTAAAGTTTTAAGTAATGATATTTATGGTAGCCACATGCATAACAAAGTTCCTATTATTTTCCCCTTTCTCAGTATTCATGACACCAGAAAGAATGTACTCTTGCCATTGCAAGCAAATTTTGGTGTTAAGCTATTAAATTTAGAGAAGTTTTCAAACAAGAAGAATTAGCTTTTTTAACAGTGGCTTGCTTTTGCTGTCCAGATGGAGGCTGAGGTTACCTTATCATCATCCTTCCTCTTCAAATGAGAGAAAATGCAGTTTGCAGTCTTGGTTTTGAGATTAAAAATCCATATAACAACTAAGAAAGTTTAGATCAGTTTAGTCTCATCTCTAACAGTTAATTACAGTCACTCCCTTGTAAGACTCATGGAGTCCTATATATTTACTGGACAGAGGCTCTAATAAGCTTTTGGATAATTCATTTGCAGTAGCCATATATGGCAATGTACTTAGTTTTAGAAGCTTACTTCTGGTTCACCGATGAATTACAATGTTTGTTCTACTACAATATTTAGTTAGACAGTCTTGTTTACAGTAGGATATGTTTCTAAAAGTAATCATGCTAGCTAGAAGATATAACTTTCAAAAAGTCTTAAATCATCCTTGTTTTGGACAATACTTGAATTTCTAAAACCCCAAATCTGTGGTAATTCATATAACTTCAAAGATAGTGAATTTAGTCCATGAATTTAGCAGTCCAGCCATTCTAAACAGCAGTTCACAAAGCATGTAAAAATCACAACTTCTATTTGAAATTTACCACTGCTACCATGAAAAGAACTGTAATCACCCAGTGAGACATACACAGAATATTAGTTGCTGAAGGGTTGTTTAATATTAATATGAGATACGGGCTGATGTTAAACAAACAACAAAACAGCAACAAAACCCAAGAAAATAAACCAAAAAACACTGTGCAAAACCAGATAGATCTCTGTCATTGTAAGAACACATATAGAAGCTTCACATCATAAGGTGAATGGGGCAAAAGTCTCACCGACGACCATCTCACAGAAAAACAGAATGATTTAGGGTGAAAGACTTGAGATCATCTAGTCCAAACCCTGTGCTCAAGGAAAATCAGCCAGAATAGATCACTTAGGATCATGGCCAGTCAGATTTTAAAAATCACCAAGAAAAGCTTCACAAAGCTGAAAAACTTATTGCAGTGTTTGACCACTTTCACACTTAAAAATTTCTTGTGTTCAGAGGAAATTTCAGGTGCTTACTTTGTGTGCACTGCCTCCTAACTGTCCAGAAAGCTGGGAATTAACAACAGTGTAGTTTCTACCTCTTCAAGTCTCAGAACTCCCTTTAGCTTGATCTGCTGGCCAGAAGAAACTTCCCTAGGTTGCAGTATGAATGATACTCCTGTTCCTTAATCTCCTTTGTAGTCCTGCAGCACACCCGTTCCAGTGAGTCTGTAACACCTTTGTTCTGGAGAACCCAGAACTGGTCCCAGCATTCCAGATGTGATCACACTAGCACTGAGTAAGGACAGCATCACTTCCCTAGAACTGTTTTAAGCGCTTTGCCTAATGCAGATTAAAGACACTCCTGGCCTTTTTTTGCAAAACGTGTGTATTGCTGCGTTGTGGTCAGCTTGTCCACCGTGAACTCTTGGGTGTTCTCTAAAGGGCTGCTTTCCAGATGGGTGGGCCCCTACATACTACTGGTGCATGGGGTTATTCTTCCCCCAGGTGCAGGCTTTGCTACTTTCTTGAAATTCATGAGGTTCCTGTTTGCCCCTTTCTCAGTTTTGTAAAGGTCCCTCTCAAGAGCAGCAATCAGCCAGTCTATCAGTCACTTGTCCACTGCACAATATATCCCATCATTCAGGCCATCATAAAAGAGTTGAATTTTACTAGCCCCTGTATTGATCTGTGGGGTTCAGCACTAGTGACTTCATTCAACCTGGACTTCCTGTTTTGACACTCTGGGCACAGTTACCAGATCAGTTTTTAGCTCACCCTCCCTGTCTGGATACACACAACACACTTCACTGTGATGTTAACCTTTGCTTTGTGAAACCTCTGACCTCCACAACATCTACTTGCCTCCACTATGTATTTCTGTGAAACAAGGTAAATGGATAAACTTCTATTTGGCCTGTCTTATAGTCACTGTGATACTACTAAACCAGCAAGGGAAATCTTTAATGAGTCATAAAGCCAGATTATAAATTACAACAGCAATTCTTCCTTCTTTCTCCCCCTAAATAACCACTCCAGAGCAAGACTGCTGATAACTTCTTCAGAAGAGAAAGCTCTCATTGCTATGCCCCACAAGTTTTGTAATTTATGCAACCGCATTAAGCAGCAGAAACTAAACTATGATATCAGAGTCTCAGACAGAACTAAAGAGACAAGTTTTCCAGTTGAACTACAGTACTATATGTCTTTTAATGATCAGCTACACCCCACACAAACCATGTCAGAGCTAGAAAGTTATTTCAGAGTTTTAGGCCACATTGCCAAACATTAAGGAGGATCAGTATTTAATTCTTTCAGGGCTAGTTAATCTCTTGCTATGAGCCAATTCATCACGAAACAAGCACAAAACTTATCAGGAGACATTCATCTATATTGAAGCAAGCAAATCCTGCCCTTTTTCTTCTCTCCCTCAAAAGCCATCAAGTCTTGTACTTTCACATAGGGTGCAGTCAATTCTGTTTTATTTCCTGAATCTTTATTTACAAATAGAGGATCTTCTTGAGTTGCATACTTAAACTCTACCTAATTTAACAGCTATATTTAGAGAATTAGATGAAACTTGAGCCATACGTCATAATCCTTTGTTCTAGCACTTGTTTAAAAATCTTGACTGAGTCACTGAACACAGTCCTTGTAACCCAAGAAAGAAGGCACACAGTTTCATAAGAGTGACATGAACAGCCAATGCAACAGGAAAAAAAAATACTACCAAAGTAAAGCAAGTGTAGAGCGTATCTTACTCATTAAAATTTTCCTGTCAATTTTGAATGATACTTCAGTAGTAGGCAACATTGTTTAATGTCTGGTAACCGTGGCTAACTTGTGACCAATTGCACTGTGCTATACAAATATGGCTTTAATAACGTGACTCATAACTTAATAAAACTTAACATAAGTCAGAAAGAAAATGAAGCTCTATTTTAGATTTGATGCTTCCATACACATTCTTGCTAGCCCTTCATCATTGTGTTTCTTGGAGTCAAGAAGAACTCAGTCACATTTGGAAATGACAAAGCATACACAGATGCAGTAAGAAAATAGGTTTTATTTTATAATTTTATAGAAACATTTTTAGATTGCTTAAATAAAGCAGCTGCACAGCAACTTTCTGTATATAATCCAGACAAACTCAAGTACATAAATTAACAAATACTTTGATTTTGCAACCCAGCTATTCTATCATAACTATTTACATCTTCCTACAAATACTAAAATAGGAACTCATGCCCTTAAGATAACATGTAAAAATATTTCCAAAACATAGCCAAACTCTCGAATTGCCAAGTGTTCCTACAGAAAAATCCCCAAAGGCACTAGCCCACAGTATGTGCACATTAAGTCCTTTCTAAACATACACAGTTCCCTTCAATATACCAAGTCAATAGTACTCCCACTACAATAACATTGAGGGATAAACACAGCTCAGTTCACTTTATTTTTCCTGTTTTATGATCAGAGTATTCCATCTTACTTCAATTAAGTTACATACTAGACTTTTAAAATTAGACTGCAAATTTCAGTGTAACTTCTTTGGACAGCCACAACGGAATACTAAATGAATTAGAGAATAGTACAGATTCAAAATATTTCAAGTTCTTCAAATGTTGAATATGATCTTTTATATTTAGGCAATGGTGTACAAGAACTTTGGTACAAGTGTTGTAATAATGCTTATTTTTACAGTTTTCTTTCAGAAGTCCCTGATTTGCTCATAATTTATGTGTGTATAGCAGATATCTTTTCTGAAGTCTTTTGTCGCAGGGCTTTAGTTAATGGTGGAGGCTTGTAGAAATACACTGCCATGACCACAAAGATGATTGTGACGATTTTGCATGCAGCACCTGAATGCAAAGAACAGGAGAGTTTTTATCACACTCGCTTTCAGTAGCAGACGCAGTGTTTCACTCATTTATAAAGCTTCATATGTTGAATTTTTTCATTACATACACCCTGTAAGACTTCATTTAAATGTACTCTACATGAATGACAAAGGGCAGATAATGACAGTCATACAGCTGAATTTAGACCACTCACCTCCTGCCAATTTTTGCTTTGCTCCAGTTCTGTGTTTCTTCACCCCATTCTAGCCTGACATGCAAATCTTTCTTATTTCTTGTTTCAGTACTGTAATTTGTTATATCAATATTCTCTTTTCCAGAAACTAAAGCTTTTCACATAGAATATCTCTTAAGTATTCTCTGGTCAGATGTCTTAGAAGGCTATAGAAAGGTGTTTGCACAACTTGGAAGGCCAAGGAGAAGGGCAAAACCAGAGGGATTGTATTTGATCACAAATATGCCTTGAGATCCTCAAGTTGTGACTGCTGCTTTTTCAGTTTCAGGATTAGACATCAGTACTTCAGCTCACACACTGTAAATATCACCATTGCTAGAAGACAGGACATCAGCACTTAACCTCAGATGCAAGCTTAGCCTACACCCTCTCTCCCACCGGCATATATACCACACATTTGAAGGGAAGAAATTGTTAAACAAGTCAGGATTTTTTCTGACAAGTGTTATGGAAAAGAACCGAGATACAAAAAGAGGAAGAAAGCTCCCCAGACCTTAACTGCCAACACGCAACCCAGATAATCACAGAACGATATGAGTTGGAAGGGAACCTGAAGTCTGTCTACTTCCAACTCTTGTGCTGGGGGCAGGCACACCTTCCACAAGATCAGATTGCTCAGGGCTCCACACCTTGAATACTTCCAGGCATGGGGCATCTGTAACTTGTCTGTGAAACCTGTTCCAGTGCCTGGCAACCCTCTCTCCCAGTGAACAGTTTCTTCCTAATATCTAACCAAAACCTACCTTCTGAGTTTCAGTCCATTGCCCCTTGTTCCATCACTATTCTCTCTTATAGAGTCCCTCTCAATTTATCTTTCTTGTAGGCTCCCCTTCAGATACTGAGAGGCCTCAATAAGGTCAGCTTGGAGACTTCACTTTCCCAGGCTGAACCAACACAATTCTCTCAGCCTTTTCTTTATAGGAGATAATATATATATATTTCTTTATACACCCCTAATCATGCTCATTGCCCTGAAGACAGACTGAAGTGTGAGCCAGTCCCTTAAAAATCTAGTAAATAAGTGTAACAATTAAGCAAGATTGAAGACCAAAACTATTTTGTGTAATTGTTAAAGGAGTTTTTAAAGTAACCTTTAGGGTTTACTTACTGTGGTGTTTCTCATTCCATAATATTTTGCGGATCATTTATGAAAGTAAGTTAAAAAACACTGCTGCCAAAAATGAAAAGAGTAGGTTTTATATCAAAATAATCCCCATCTAGCAGACAAGGTCAGTATATATATTACCTAGTAAATGTATTTAATATAAAAGACTTACTTATGCCCATGAGCAAATAAGCCATTCTTTCATTGTCATATATCCAGCAAGCTCCTTTAGTTTCGCATTCATCAATATCCCACAGAGTACAACTGTTGTCTATAGCAACACCAAACAAAATTGGTCCAGGAATAGTACCTAAAAAACACAGAACACATTAGAATGTTTGAGTTACTTGACATACTAGTTTTCATGCATACAGTGAAATGCTAAGCTGGTGGTGAAGATAAAATGGGAGAACCAGACACTAAATGTAACAATTTTAATCAAAGTCATAGGCTTCATATTACATAGTAAGTCTGCACCTAGCATTGATCTCAGTTAATAGGTAGGATGCAGAGAGTTAATTCATTATATAGCTCTCATTTTGTTAAGCAAGAAATTTATTCAAAGACTTGAGCTTCTTAACTTCCTCTGTATTCACTGGAAAAAGAAAAATTAAAATCAATTGTGAAAAAACTAATCAAGAAATCAGGAATTTAACTGAAAGGAAAAAAGTTCGTTTTTTCTGATCATACACACCAACCTGCTCCAAATTATGAGAACTAAAATATAAATATGTTAAATGTTCAGTTACACATTTCTCCCTGTTCCTCATATGTAGCAATGCTTCCAGTAAAAATTTCACAAAAAAAAAAGCAGTGTTTAAAATTATTCTTGTTCAGATTTTATTAACTCCATGTGATTTTTGTGTGTTATAATGCACAAGTGTATTGCATCCAAGTACAGCCAATTTTAGAATAAACACACCAGGTACATCACTGCATGTCTACCCAACTACCCAAGGCCTAAACTCTCCTAGAGCTAACCAAGTAGCTATGTCCCTCCTCACTAGATCTTCAGCCTAAAACCCCTGTGTGATTCTTAAAGCCTACAGCAAAAATATGCTGCTGGTAAGTAACACTGTTAGTTACTGCCTTCTTCAGCCATAGTACAGGCAGTGTAAAAAGTTCTATCACTCCACAGTGAAGTCAGGAGTTTGAGATCTAGCAAAAATATCTGAACTCTGAGTAAAGTGAAACAGAGGGACCCTCATACAACATTGATGACAGATTTCCAGCTTATTTCTACATGTGAGGATGTTTGTTTTATTACACTTTATCAGGAGAATGACTTATATTAATCACAGTTTGAATACAGCAAGGCAGAACTCATACTGCGAGTGTTAGATATGTAATCTCAAAGGAGAGGGAATGGCTACAGTACTAAATATTGGCATGAAAGTCCAATCAGCAACTGTGTCTTGTCCCAGTCTTGAATTAAATATACCATTTCAAAACTGTGTACTACTAAACCAAGATTTTTCATTATGCCTGAGAAAATTCAAATGCTTGTGGACCAGAAAATACATATGCTTACCCTTGTTTTACTTAAGAAGATTCATCTATCTTACTGAAATGCTGGAGATGCTTAGATATGGAATTAAAGTATTATACTTCCCACATTATACTCTGTAAATAATTATGTACAATTATCTATCTTAATAAATGCTAAAGTTAGTGAAAGACATTTTAAAGGAAGGAAGAAGAGGAAAGGCTCCACATATTAATTTTTCTTTTAACTTCTGGATTTCAGATGTTACATGAAACTGTTTTCTATTACATCAGTTCTTCTTATCTCAGTTTTCAGAATAGGCCTTCTTCTGGGGCAAGTAGCACCAGGTGTGTTTTACTGAAAGAATGGCAGTTACCTGTATTTGGCTTGTGCTCGTAAGAGTGAGAAAGGCTAAAGAGAGCACGAATGCCCTATTAACAAAGAATTTGAATCCAGATGTAACCTTACAAGTGTATTCTATAAGCCAATGACAGACTGCTTCAAGTGCCCCTGAAAGTTTTTTAAGGCATTATTTTAACGTCAAGAAAAAAAAGGTCAAATAAGTAGATTACTCAAAGGCAAATGTTTCAACAAGAAAGTCATACCCAATAGTCGCAGAAACAGTAACTGTACTCCAAGAGCAAATGAGCGCTGTTTATCTGGCACACACCTGTAAACAAGATTTGCAGTTTAAGACGGAGTAAACAATTTCTACTGCTGTGCTGTGTCCCTCAGTGAATATGCTTTCTCTATATACTCTTTTAACCTATTAATTGCTGAAGGGTTTAGAAATCCAGTGTGCAGAACAAGTAACCCAACTATTTAAAGTGGTGTTTAGATAAAGGACAGAAAAAACACCAGTAGCCCATCAAGAAATTTTAGATTTAACTAGTTTAACAAAATAGTATAAATGAAAAGGAAGCTTGCTATCAGCGTCCTGATATACTGTTAAACATTTTTTCCATAGAACAACCAAGGAAATTAAAATAGTGCTAGGATGCAATCCAGAGCTACTATACATAAAGAAGTAAGTGTTGGACTCTATTATCCATATAGGCAATTAAGAGAAGGATAATGAGTTCCACATCATGCAGTAGATTTTTTCTAGTAGTAGAACACTGTCATGAATATATGAATTTATGTTTGAAATTGCACAAAAAAGGCTCACAGAAAAGACATTGGAATATACTGTAAAATTACTGACATTTTAGCTATTTAAATTAGTTTTTGAAAATTAATCTACTTACAGTCCTTTTTTCCATAAAAAACTGTTCCACTATTTCAGCTGAATTATATAAGGATTCAAATATCCAAATGTTACTGCTTAGAATTACTGAAATAAAACTGTGTCAGCTCAATTTTGAAGATAATGCAGAACATTTTGTTATTCTGCCTCCACCCTAATGACAAGCTGTTAATTCCAGATTTACACCAAACCTGGACACAAGGCTATTACAAAGCACTGCTGTAGGATGTTACTGATTTCCTCAGCCTCTCACCAAAGGGCATCTAGCCACATCCTCACAAAGCAACATGCTTTTGCATCATGGTTATCTTTTCACTGGAAGTATTAGAACTACAAGTCAAACTTGTAGTTTGACTTCAACAAACACAAAACAGCTCTAAATTCAGAATGAGAAGCAAATTTTAAAAATAAAAACAAACAAAAAACCCCTCTATTTCATGCGTATAAGCTTCAGCAATTTGGAAGAAAGCAAAACCACTGGTTAACTCACTATCACATTTTGTATTAGTGACCACCATACATACAACATCAGTATCATGGGAAATAGTTTACAGTTCTTCACAGACTACAATTTTTCAAGCTAGAACTCTGAATTGAGACAGGAATCTAAGGTTGAAAATATATGACTAATTGTTGTTTTGTCCTTTTCCTGATACAATTTGAAATGCTGACACTATCAATAGGCTAGACAAATATTTTCTTCATCAAAGCACAAAGAACATTTATTCCTTTTTGCTTCAACTAAAACAGTCAAGAGTGCTCAAAATCCATAAAATGAATTTTGCTGCACGCTAGAGAGATTTTTTTAAAATAATTTCAAAATTCATCTACTAACAAGAGCGAACAGTGGTATGACTATGCTCTGTTTAAAGTACTGCTTGCTTACTACATAACCTTGTTAAAATACCGCATTGCAAAGCAAAAGAATTAAGTATTTCACTGATAGTAGTTTTCAAAAGAATGTCACCTTTCTTGCAGACAAAAAAACATACCTGAGAATGGCCACGGTTGTTGGAGTAGTAGCCATAAATGTAAAAACAACAGCAAAAAAGAAGAAGGTCAGGAATAAAGGTAAAACTTTGCATTGTGTTGGGCATTTGCCAGGAACAGCTTCATAGAGAAAGTCTTCTAAACCATTTCCTCTTTTTGATTTCCCAATACAGGAACAGTTGTGGTACGTCTACAAATAATTTATAAGACAAAATTTAGCTCCCAGAATGTCACAAAATGACATCTTTTGGTAAATTTTTCATTACATTTGCATCACAGAAGACAAGAATAAACATTGACCTTACTATATGGGAAACAGTTAATTTCCTGATGAGCACATGACAATAAGATTAATTTTTAAAACTGGCTCACCAGAATTTGACTGATCCACCTCACCTGAGCAACAGGTATTTTTGGATTTTTTACCTAAAAAGACAGTGATAGCCTCCATTCTGTATGCTTTGTAAGCTTTTAGCTACAACTATAAAAACTTGCAGAAGTTAGAGGCAAACCATATGCAGAGGCAAGCACTACTCTTCAGACTTAAGCAGGAAAGAATAGAAGCAATATAGTTACCACTTTTATATGCAGGTGAACAAATGGAATATGCTCTTCATCTAAATCCACAGTTTGTTTTCAAAGAAAAATATAACGTGTCAAAGTGTGAAATTTCTACTCTCCTACATTTTCTTATGGATAATACCTTCTCTCATTTTCCAATATAAAAGTATAAAGGCCTTTCCTGGGTCAGCTTGCTTTTTGGATCTCTCTATACTGCTCCCACATCCCTTCTCAAGAGTCTATTGTACTAGAAGAAATAAGCACAGAAAGCCCCTCAGCTCCAAGAAGGCTTGATAATAACCTAGGCACTTTCATGCCTTACCATTCCTGCATCAGAGGCTACTGACATTCAAGTTTTCAAAACTCACGGAAGCAGGTTGTCATGTATATGTATACAATAAACACTGCATTTTCTTAAAGATCTAGATAAGAACTTCAGGTTCTTCAGAACTTCAAGACAATTGCTGACTGTTCTGATTGTCAATTCTATTTAAAGTACATTTAGATTTAACTTATTTTCAGCATTAGGAAGTCTGGTAGATGTACACTTGGAGAATGGCATCACACAAATGAGAAACACTGTGGCTAACCAGTAAGCCCTTACAACAAAAGAAGGCCCAGAGGTGGCAAAGACTGTTGTGCCCAGAAAACTCACAGAACAATGCAGGCTGTGAATGACCAGAACTGTTGCAAAGAAAGCTATATAGAAAACAAACAGCTATGCCACTTCAGTGAATCAAAAGAGATGTCAATGCTTCTCTCTGAGTTCATTAAGAGAGTGAAAACATTTTCCTAAGTTAGCCAGACCAGCATGAACATGGGGGGTGGTGAAGGGAAGGGAGTGTAGCTCACCCCAACATAGAGTATAAAAAGCCAGACAACTACCAGAAACATTTCAGAGAGTAATGGGCTTGACCTGGCTTCAACCTATGAATACCTTCCCAATAACTCAGGAGGCCCAGCACTGTGGCAGTGAACATGTTAAGAGATCAGCAGTGGGAGTCACACTGGTACTGTAAATGAACTGTGTATTGTAATCGCAATCGCTGGATTTTGTTAAATACGACCTATATTTGGTATTGTAGGAAGGACATTTTGAAATACAGCGCATTTTACAGGAAATGAGAACAAACCGTATCAGCTATCTTCATTGCATAAAGTACCTTTTTCATGTTGTTAAAAAGATATGTAGTACATCCTGCAAAACAGGGAGAAAAGTACTGGACTTCATCACTGCCACAAACTGGGTAGTATACGGAGCGCAAACACCTGCAGTTCGCATTGCATGGTGCTGTTAAGTTATCTAGAGTGCCTGTTCTGAAAAGCAGAAGTTAATAGGCTTTTAAAAAAGCAATTGGAAAAAAGAAGATATGTTAATAATAAAGCAATATTTATAGCATAATAAATTTTAAATTTAAAATATTCTATTCATGTTACTTATGCACTTAATTGTTTAAAAATAAGCATAGTAGTTAGAGGTCTAGACTTTCCACTTATTATATACCTAGGTTTTTTTATGCTGTTATTTTATCCAAAGATTATTCCTCCAATTTCCACTTACAAAAGAGATTACAAAATTCTGCATCTCAGCCCAACTCTTATATCATCCTCTCCCTCCCACTTAGGTATTTGAATTTCTTCCATTTATAATTTCAAGAAAAAAATACAAGATTAAAACCAGTATTTGGAGTTGTTTATTCTACTGATCATACTCCAACATTCTTCCCCTTTTTTGAGTGCAGTTGCAAAGCCACCTTATTTTTACTATTTCTAACACTGCCATGCAGACATCTAAATTGTATGAGCACAAAGACGACTGTACATGTTAAATGCAGAGTTCAATGACACTCTGAAGGACCTTAAAGATTTCCTCTGGCTGTTTAAGGAATAAGTAATAACAGAGTTTACTTTAACTCTTGCACACTATATTTACTTTCAATTTATTTCCAATACAGGTAATCATATGGTTTTATTTGAAGTAGTCCCACTGTATTATTATCATGAAAGATCACTTTGGTTTGTGTGAGGGCTGTCCTAAGGCATAACCAGAGAGAATAAAAACATCCTTTGATTTTCAAATTTTAGTTCATTAATAAGTAAAGAATTTTCACAGCTTAAAAGTTCAGTCAGCTAAAACCAAGTTACTGACACTGACACTAGAGTTTAAATATTGTACTGTAAAATTAAAGTTCCACATTAATTATCTAAAGGTATGTTTATTTGCCAGAATTTGAGATGACAAAAAATACTAATAGAAGAAATAGTTTATGTAGGAATTAACTTACATACAGTCAAACTTCAAATGGAATATAAGGGACATCATAACTACATATAAAATCCATTTTGTTGTAATTCAGCAGAACTCCACTAAATTAATTTGTGCTTTAAGCCTAAGCAAACTAACTTCAATTCTTCTAAGTATGAAGAATGAACTACATTGCACCGTAAGCAAATTCACTAATCAGACTGGTACATTCAGTGCCTTTCTAGCCTGAGAGGCATGCAAAGCCTGGAAATATTTAATCAATTTGGTGGCGTTTGTCCTATTTACATGTGCAGTGTCTCTTTCCCCGACCTCCAAAGAGGCAATAAACACTTAGTTATACCCAGTCAGAGAAAAATACAACAAAAAAGATACTTCTGGCTTTTCTAAAAAATCTAGCAGATGAGACCATCAATTGCTCATTAAAAAAACTCTATAGGAGTTTTTAATCAAGAGCCCCAGAGACATGTGGAAATGAAGTACAGAAATAGTCACTACATTTCTGTTCCTTCAAGTTTTAAGGGAAAGACTGGGCAATAGAATTTGGCAAAAGCAATTCTTTGAAGTGCCTGTTGGACAAAATTATGTTAGTTCTGCTGATGGCCTAATTTAGTAATAAACAGAGTTATTAAAAGTAAGATGCTGTTTTCATTAACACAAACAAGTGATCCTGTACTCCTATAATTCTGAGACAAAACCTGCAAAAGCTTCTCTCACCTTTCTGAGTTATTTTTCAATAAGAAGATAATGCTTGCCATGAAGGATTTCTTGAAATTCTCCACAAAAATCTCCATCAAATTCTAAGTCAACTCTCAGAGTAGTCTCATAACTTATTCATTCAGAAGCATTTGTTCAGTAGCATGAAAGCAAACACTTGGCTGTTCTTGCACAAGTTTATAAATTTTTTTTTTTAAAGCTACTGCTTTAAAAAAGCTACTGCTTTTAAAATGTATTTTATTTCTTCATGGAAAACAGTTTAAGAACTGGCACTGTATTAATGCCACTAACGATTCTGATGCACATGTCCAGTAAAGTATAAGCCAACCAGTAACACTGCATAAGGTAGAAATGAGCCATTTCTTATAATGGATTCCAAGGGAAGAGATACATTTCAGGACTGGTTAACTTCCAATTAATGTAGATAAGTAGCCTTTAGCAACAGTTAAGCTACATAACTGATAAAGTTACACAAAACTGTAAAATACAAGCTAGTGGTATTTAACTTAGGATGAACATCAGTTCAGCTGTAACTTTGTCTGCTGCCTGTTACCATAGGACCTGATATAAAAATACTGGTAATTTCATATACCATTTTCTATGCTACATCTTCAGCATTTTATTGATGACTACAGATTCTTTCGCTAAATATGTAACTATAACCTTTCTGTAGCCAAAATCTGAATCATGATTCACAGTTCTGAGTTGTCTAAGTCATCTGTCTGCTATTTTTTCAGACACTGAAGCAAAGCAATATTTTGGTCATCCAATTTCAACACTGGCCTTTAAATATACTGTCAATTTATACAGCAAGTTGTAAAGATGAAATCAGAACGAGTTGTAACTTGGGCCTTTTGGGCTTTAAGGTTTTTTATTTTCTTTCAGTCACCAGTGTATGGAACTTTGTTGATTCATTTTGCATATTTTTGCATACCAGTACATTTCTACTTTCCACCAACTTGCATGGGCATTAGAGGCTAAAAAAACAATTTCCTTCCCAGCCCACCTTCTGTGTTTTCATGGTACATATCATGCTATTGTGTCAGCAAACTGCACCACTCCTCTTCCCCACCTCATTTAGCTTCAAGTGTCTCTTTATGCATTGGAGAAGAACTATCAGATTATGCTTTTATACAAGATAGTGGTATCTAGCCTTTGCATATAATGGGGGATTTGGGAAAACAATAAAAAGGTATTGGTAAGTTATTTACCAACTTACACAGCATACAATTGACACCCATGATTTTTTTAGATGGCATCTAGCAGTCCCTAGGTAACAGCCTACTTGAATTATTTTGCACAGCCCCATCTGGCTCTTGGACAGACCTTCCAACAGCTGCAGTTGCCTCTGTTAATTTATGATGGGATAACTGACCACTTGAGAGCAGACTTCTGGAATAGCTAGTTGCCCTCCTTCTGCTTTTAAACACTGCTGGTGTGTACTATTTGAAACTATGGCAATTGAATAAATACTAATATGAAAGCCAAGAGTGCATTAAAATGTATTTACCCATTATATGTTTCAGAGACACCTGCAAAAGGTTCATTCCCACATTTAGCAAATAAAAACACTGTGTTTAATATTAAGGCCACTGAACAGGTGCCTATCATGAACTTGATTATGCCTTTGCAATCCATTTTGCGCTTGGAAACCAAGACACCACTTATGACTTGGCCTAGCGCTGCTCCTGGAATTAGTACAAGTCCTAGAGGAAAACAAGACAAGGAGCAGTTACATAAAAAGTGCAAGACTTAACTGTGACGCAATTTTATGCTAAGAAAAACATCAAAACAGTTACCTGCAAAAAGCAGTCCATGTGATATTGCTTTCAAACCATATTACCAGAATCTAACTACATGAGTAATTTATTCTACTGTTACATCACCTTTAGCCTTTCCAGAGGTTTAACTGGACAGTGTAATTTATAGTTGTCCAAAACCCAACTTCAACATAGCCAAACTAGATGACTTAGGAGCACTGTGGGGTGGGAATCTCTGAACACCAGTAGGTGTCTCTATGAAAATAGAAAATCCTGTTTCATTCTTTTGGTGGTTTTTTGACATGACCATGTTGTTTCTTATACATCTGTTATGAACTTGTTAATAAAAGAACATAAACACTGTTATACAAGAGACAGCACACAAGATGCAAGAAGACATCTACTGAAAAATGTAAAGAAGTCTAGATCAGTGGGTCAGATTTGCTGTCATAGTCTATGTAGTCCACCATGATTTATCCTCTTTGCACTCCAGATAAATAACTGAGCATTTTTATATGGCTAATCTATAATACAACACAGAACTCAGTATAACTTACACCAACCTGAGAGAGTTAACATTACAAACAGTTCAGGTACAGTGACAAAACTGCCCAGGCCACAGACCTGGGAATTCCAAAAACCACAGTCAATGACAGTTTAAATAGTTTCCACAATCATTGGTAATGTTTAGACTAATTAGCTCAGTTCAGGTACAGCCAGCTTTCAACATTACTGTATGCATTTCTTTAAAGCTGTACATTTAATAGGCACTGTCAATATTTTCAACTCAAAGACATTCAGTCAAGGTCTATGGACAAAAAATGCAACACTCAGCTTTTCACTTCAGTCCTAGTCTTTGGTTAACAACTGAGCATATATTCCAATATGTTTTTATGTAAAACTTACAGATTATTTGTTTTGATGCAACAATACTATCTAATATTGCCCAGAGAAGTAATTCAGGAAGTCTTTCCCAAACACATTTCTGTTGGAAAAAGAGCAGCTCAACTCCCATAGTTATATTGCAGCGCTCTACAGCTTAGCAAGACACATTCCATTAATATTAAATCTGCATATTGCAAGCATCTGTTTGCATTATGGACATTTCTGCCTTGATCTGGTTGCTATTCTTCAGAATTAATTATGTCAATGATGTGAGCCTACTGAGCACAGCTCTTCCATCTGATGTTTTCTGTTTCTCCAATACTCAGTTTTTCATAGCTCTCTCCTGTTCTATATATTACTTCTGCATATCAGATAAAAATAGGTGACAGTAAGCCAACTACAGCAGAGCCAGTTATATAACAGACTTATTACATATTCTGATCAGTCATTTTATTGCAAACTCATTGTAATGTCAGTGTGGAATTAAAGAAGATAAAGGCAAAATCAACTTCTTATTTGTGATAAGTACTGCTTTTTTTCCCTAGCTGCCCTTCATCTTGATTATTTTAGTAGGGACTAAGATACTACTGCTCCTTCAGGCAATTTCAAATAAAGGAAAATTAAATGTTTTTCACCAAGAACAAGAAAGGAATAAACTACTAGTAAACTAAAAGTATACTAAAAGGAATAAACTACTAGATAAGCTAAAAGTTGCATCAGCACTCAAAATCCTCAGTCTACTCTGAATATGTAGACTAGAGCACTTAAGTAGTACTAGAGTACTTAAGGGCAGGCAAGAATAACAAAAATACTGCTCTGATTACTGCATTCCATCTAAGTACATTCACAAACATCTCAAACAAAAAAGATACCCATATAATCTTCCACCTCTAATGTTAATGAAGTGTTCAACACAATATATATATATAAGATTTAAAACTAAAAAGCCATATTACCTCCAAGAGTTGCTGAAAAACTTGACGACTTTCCAAACTGATTTTCTATAAACTTCGGTAGAAATGTGGCAAATCCAGTGGCAACTAAAGCTTCTGAGGAGCTGGCTACTATTAGACTCATGAGCACTGGATTCCTCAAGAGTATCTATGGGGAGAAATTATCATAACGCTCTGGAAATTATTTGATTTTGGTACCAACTAAAGTCATTATATTTTAAAAGGAGATCCTCTGAAATGGAACTATAGTGATATGCTTTTCTAACAATCTCAAGCATCAACAAAATTAATGTGCATTAAGTTATCAGTAACATTGACGTTTTCCCTATCACAACACATTAAGCCATTTCTATAGGCCTCTAACATCTGGAAAATAATTTCATTTCTCAGAATATATTCAGTTTTAGCAAATTTGAAATTTTTCTTACCAGGAGAGCCACAGGAAAGTCCTTAAAACTTTGTCCAATATCGTTGGTCTCAACCAGTATTTGACCTCCACCATCATGAGTTTCAGGGATTTTTTCAGCCTGAATTTTTGCAGTTCCTACAAATTGTCATATTTATCAACAATGAAATCACTCAATACCTGCATTCTTAGACAATGTTGAAAAACCACAAAAATTTGTGTTTCCTTTAGTTGGGAAAGTGCTTTCAGATATTACAGGTCTTCTTGCCTGTTTTATTGGCACAGATTTTTACAGAGATCAATACTGTATTGTTGAACAAATTTTTGTTGAAAGCATTATACTTTCATTGGACGTTGGAAGGTCTTGGCTGCAAGAAGATATTAACAGGGACATCCTAAAAACTTCGGAGTATGCTGAAGCCCCTTTTTTTTTTTAAATCAGCCTCATATTCTCCATTTCCTACTTTTTCTTTTTTCTTTTCCTCCATTATTTCTCCTTCAATATTAGTATACTAAGTCCCTTTGGATGCTCATGGAATTTCTACACTGTTCCTGCTGCGTAACAAAGAAGCTTTAAATATAGTCCTGGGTGCTTAGCTACAAGCATCTTTCATACTTTGACCACCAGTCTCCACACTTAGGTATATGTTTCCAGTCCAGTCCATCATTATAGAGAATGACAGAATCACAGCCTGATTTGAGTTGAAAGGGGACCTTGAGGATCATCTATTCCCAACCCCCAGCCATCAGCAAGACCACCATACATGAGATCCTCCCTCTAGCTGATTCACCTTGTTTTAAAGTTTTAAAGACTGCATATTGGAGGGGGAAACAAAAAAATAAACAAACAAACAAACTTGTCCTCTGATTTTAGTCAAAGACAGTTAACTGAGAAACTAAATCAAACAGGAAACATTCAGTTCAGTACTCTATAACCCAAAAATATGAACAAATGTCTCTTCCAAAGTAGCCAAGCATTGCTAAACCTTTACCTGGTAGGTGCTTTGGAAAGCATGAAAAAGGTATTATAAGAAGCCAAATTGCAAAAAAGCATGCAAGAAATCCTATCCACCATGCTCCAAGCCAACGTGGGTCATCTTGATCCACCTTTGTACTGAAAAAGTAATTCAGAAAAAGCAGGTTTACCTTCCTGAATTTCACATTTTAGTGAGTTGGAATATTTCCTTTTAATGTAGTTTAACAGAAAGCCTTTTAATATTGCTATTTTCTTAGTTTTATATGTATTAAATTTATTGTTTGCTTGTTTAAACCACCCTCACTGGGCAATTATAAAAATACTGAATTCTACCAAATGTAGCCTTCAATTCATTAGTTAAGGTCATTCCAATTTAAACACAAGTCTATGGTCCTGATTTCAAGATTCTGAGGCATTATGAAGATACTGGGAATGCTGGATTTAGAAAGATTCCTCAATCAGTGAGTTATACCAAAACCAATTCAGAAGTTCAGAATGCCATTGCATCAATCTGAAGGCTCTAAAACATAGGAAATAAAAGTGTAAATGAAGCTGCTGGTTTAAATATTAGTACAATTTATAATACTTTTTTTAAAAAATGGACTACTATTCAACAGAAAGATTTTCTAGCAAGCTCTTTCCTAGGAGTTAAGAATCCTAATCCTAATACTCCAGCTCAAGGAAACAGTTCCACAAGAAATCAGTAGATGGAGGTTTAACCCTGAATATACAACTAAGCAAAAGAAAAAGCATTTTTTGCTACTGAGGTTTAGAATAGTTAGTATTTAAATGCTAGAAGTATCTATTTGCACTACAGAGAAACTTCCACACACAATGGAGTAACTAGTCTAGGAAGTAACTCATTAACATGAAGCCTTTTCAAGTGCAACTTGTTTCCAAGGTAATGAAGCTTTTGAAAACACAGTATTTTCTGAAAAAAAATTCTCCTCACAGGGAGAAAAGCTGAATATTTTAGTAAAAATTATTAGAGAAGGAAAATAGGAAGCAATAAACTAAGTTCTATCTTGCCTTTTTGGGATCTGGATATCAATATAAACTTGAAGCAGCTGCCCTCCTAAGACATAGCCAATAGCAGGACCCAGCAGAGACATGGCATAGCCAACTCCTGGAAGAGAAAATACATCCAGTTCACCATAACTTCTTTATTTTTTTAAGCTTTCTTTTAATAACATTTTTAAGTCAACTTCAGACCAAAGTTGACTGTAAGTCAACCCATTCTTTTACCATCACTACAGTTGTAGCACATAGAAGACAAAATCTATAATTATGCCTCAACAAAGAAATTTGCAGCTCTCAGAAGCTTCAGGTCCAGCAAAAGGCTGACTGCACCTTTAAGCATTATTAGATTGCCTTTTCCCCCATTTTGTGCCTATATTTAAAAAATAACTAGTGAAAAAAAATAGTGAAATTATGAACATTGGTTGTTAACTGTATTAACCACAATCTTTAAGAGCTTTCTTATTTCTATTTTTCAATCTTTAGTTGTTTGCTAGATTTTCTAAAAAAAGAAGACAGTTACATCAAAGTGTGTGACTGGAGTAATATCTGCCTTAAAATACAAAGCCAAGGCTCTTAACAGCTCCTGACAGTTTTAAAGAAAAAAACTCAAACAAGCAACAAAACAAACAAACAAACCCTGACCCCCTCCCCCTAAAAAAGAAATCACCAACCTGCAAAGTTGCAGGTGTAACCATACCCTACAAAAGAGTATAAGATTTTTTTGATGTCACAATAGCATTCCTGGCATATCAGACACATTTCTGGTAGGCAGTTTAGCACTCACTGACAGCAGGAACACTGTCTCTGCAAATTAAGGCTTTGGATTAATAGCAACTAGATCCATCTTTAATTAGTAAATATGCATTCCTACCATTTCCCCAGGCTGAATAATCTGGATTTCTCATTTGTTTCTGAAGTACATGGATCACAAGTACTTAGTTTTCCTCTAGTTAGTAAGAGGAAATGATGGGGGAGTCAGGAGGGTGAGAGGGGTGCAAGAGGATAAAGCAATGCAGAATGTGACAGTCAAGTAAGTAAAAATAAATACTGAGTAGATATATCCCAGGTTTTCCTACATTTCAGAAACAGTGACAAGGTCACAGGAAATGAGTTAAGTTCATATTCATCCTATAGAACTTCAAACTGAGCTTAGAAGTGCCTATTTTCTCCCACACACTCAGTTTAAATACATTTGGAATTGTTTGGCTTTAGTTGTAGATGTACCAGTCCTAATGAACATGCACCCAGTAGAGAGGATAAAAAAAATACCAACTTGCAAATTGCAGGCTTACAGCAAAAGGTGCTGGCAGCTATTTATGGACCATTTTAGGGGTGGGTTCTGGGTTTATTTTGGTTTTGTTTTGTGGGTTGTTTTTTTGGGCTTTGTTATTTTTTCTGCATTGCATAAGCCTTCTTGTATAAGGTAATCAACACAATATACTTAAATACTTAATACATTGCATGAAGCAAGGAAAATAATCAAGGCTTAGTTACCTATCCACTCACTTGCATTCCAGTTTTGTTATATTAAGCAGAATACACTGCTCTTCTGTGTACTCAACTCAGTTGCCTGAAGACTGTGCATGAATTAGTTTTTTGTATTGATCTTTTTCTAAAAGTATAAACACTGACACCATTCTCCTGAGTTTTCATGTCACTTCTTGTTTCCCCATTTATGCAGACAACCCTAATTCTGCTCTATTTATTTCACTGGATTCAGGGGAGGAAGAAAAAATGCAGTATTATCCCTCTCAAAATAAAGAAACAGCAAAAACAAAACTTGTCTTTTTCATCTAAGAGTTATCATAGGCACCTATCCTGTTTGTTGGCATCAAATGAAGTAGCTTGCCTTGGAAAACTGTGAAAAATTTGCATGCAAACAGATAATTATTTCAATTTTGCCCCTTAAAATACTGTTCTAGTCTGAATACAGTCCTGGAATCTGAGACGTTTTGAATTCCTCCTGCAAGTAAGAAGTATAGATAATATGTTTTTCATCAGCTTACATATGAGATAGGGGAAATAAATATCTTCATACCCATAGAAAACACACTTAGACTGCAAGGAACTTGGCAATAAAATGGCATATAACCTAGAGAATGGTGACTGAAAAAGATTAAAAACCATTGCCAAGTATTAGTACTCCTTAGCTTTTAAACAGTCTCAGTGAGGCAATCTCTGTACTTCCAGTACAGCCAAGTGCCAAATTTGTATGTGGCTAGAGAAAGGGATTGATCAGATGAGGCACACCAGTGTTTATGCGCTGAGTGGATAGCCTACTATTAGAAGGTAAGTAAATAAAATTATTAAAGGATATAATATGATCTAGCTACTGACTTGACTGATACTTTTTAGTCACAGGTGTTGAAAAATACTGTGTAAGTTTTTTGTTACAACTTATTCTGTCATTAACAGACAAGCTACATGAACCATTTAACAGTTTTCAGTTACTGACATGAAAAGGTAACAGGAGGGTGCTCAAAGAAGCTTTACCATGCTCTACAAAATGAAAATTTATAAGACTTGGTACTTAGAGCAGATTAGTATCTAAATTGCACTGTAACTGATGTAGAAATACTTCATGCACATAAATAATAATTACAAAATTGTTACATTAGACGAATTCATAAAAAAACTTAAAATGCATTGCAGTCTATGATCTATGTGTTCTATATACAGTTTTAAATTTACCTATGTAAAGGGAAGACTTATGTTTTGGGACACTATCATCAATAAAAGATGTCCCCAAAGTATATAGAGGAGTTCCTCCAACTCCCAGCAGCAGCTGTCCGAGGATAAAGACGTACAGATACTTGCGAAGTGGAGAGTTTGTGCTGGCACTGCAAGTGGCATTAGCAAAGGTGGTTTCTGCAGTTTGACATGTGTCTGAAAAACAGAGACAGCAAGACTTTACAACTCTGTTACCTAACTCACAGTCCAATCTGAAGAATAACCTGTACTAAAAGCTAAACTACAAATGAATGCTGTTATGCCAGGCTCCTATTTTAATTTTCACACCTATTAATATATCCAATATTGCAGTGCCAAGCCTTCTGTGATATCATATCCCCAAAAAGATTTATTAGCAGGGCTTGGTTTTTGTTTCCTGTCTATGAAGAAACAGGATTGAAATAGTCTTATAAATACACTTTGGCAACAGGAATCAAATGGCCCTATAAATATGCTTTGGCTTATTGAAAGCATTATTGACCAGAAATTATTGTATGAAAAAACCAAACAACCAACCACTTGTCAAATGGTCATTCCAAAGGTTATGAGTACTCCCAGGTAACAGACACTTTATTGTGTGCTTGTACCTTATAACAATTCTGAGGAGCACTAACAACTCCAACTCTTAGGTGACAGAGCAGCCTGCACAACCTGAGGAAATCTGCCAGAAAGTGAAGTCTGTCACTAGTAAAGATAATCCTTCCTTTACATTCACTCTTTTGAGAAGTGTTCGCCTATAAAAACCTTAAAAACCTACACCACTCTCTCATAGAACACACACTGCTATGCCTCTAAAAGGAGAAGTTAACGTAAAACCTCTGCACTTGTGCACACACACCAAGAGGAAAGCAGTGGTACAGCAGCATAAGGTTGTGTCTGCTGCTGTAATATTTGGCACTACAAGGAGGGAAGAGAAAAGAGGAACTGAAAACAGGTAGTATCGTGTTGTCTTCTCCTTTCTCTTGCTATCATTGCACTCTTGGTAGCAGAATACCAAGAGACAAGATGTAGGAGAAACATTTCCATGGTTCTCCTCATAAGAGCATAAAACCCTAAGAAGCAGGATAAACCCATCCATTTGGTAGTAATGAGCCCCACTGAACAAATATATGAAAATGTCATCCAGATCAGATAAGCAGACTGATTAATTCACACTATTTCACTACAAAATTATTACAACCTTTATTTTCCTTAGATCCTTTTACATCTGAGAACACTTTTTACTTACGCATAGAAGAGCCAAGATCAATCCACACTATGGTCTCACAAAACAAAGCTTAAGAAAGTGCTAGCCAAGCACCAGGTATTTAAAGAAAACTTATCTAAATCATTACTTCCTGTAGCAGACAATAGGCGACACAGTGCCATTGCACAGAAACAGGCCAACATGTGGGATAAGAAAACGTCATTCAAAAGGAAGAGTCTTCAAAGTTTTCCTTCCTTTCAACTTAGGAAGTATCCTGGGTGCGCTGTCCCAATGTTTGACTGTCTTCACAATGAAGTTATTTTCCTTGTGTCAAGTGAGAACCTAGGATTCTCATTTGCTGTCACAGACATACTGAAACATGTTTAATTTTTAAAATAAAATCCAAGACTGAAGTTTAAAGGTACATTGCTTATAATATTTGTGGTTTTCACAGTCCTCCGTGCTAATTAATCAAATTAAGTTGATTCTGTTAAGGCAGCAGGGGGAGCCCTTGACTGCACATACCAGAGCCAGCTGAGGCACCAGCAGCCCATACAACCTGGAAATTTACCAGAACAAACAGCTGGTTGTACCTGGGTTACAAATTTGAGTCTAAAACCTTTCTGGAAAATAGAAAACACATTTTACAGTGGCTTAAAAAACTGCAAAACCTCAACAAACCAAAAAAACCAACTCCTCTGCTCCCCCCCCAAAAAATCCCAACCCCCCCAAAAAACAAAACAAAACCCCGAACAATAATAGGCAGACAATTGATTAGCAGATCTTTCAATATGAAATGGATTAGACTATTTCTAGGAAGTAGTATTATGATAAATAAATTGGCCTTATAAGACCTGTTCAGAAATATTAAGTGGTGGATTTTAATACAAGCATAAAATACAAGCTTAATTAAAAAAAAATTAGGATCTCTATAAGCAACTCACACAAATAACTAAAAGGAACACTTTTGGGGTGTGGTGCTATTAAATCCTGCAACTAATTGTATAGCTAAAATGTTTCATCAACCTCAGAACTAGTTAAACCAAACAACACATAATCCTGTGCTGTGGCTTACTTGACAGTTAAGAGATGCTGTTGCACTGCACCTGAAGATTTGACTGCCTCAGTGCTGACATTCCCTGCACCCTCAGTCATTTATTTTTGACAGTGTTTTGTTTAAGTCAGCTTAAGATCTGGAATGTGCTCACCACCAGCACAGCATAGGCACCTGCATTACAACAGTCAGAACAGCAGGCAAGCTGTCACCTGGCAGTGCTATGGTGAAGAAACACATGTCAATTCAAAAATTCCCCACTCCTGTTAGATTTCAAAACTCCATGCGGAACATGTACCTAATAAAGGTATCAATATATACAGCCATCTTCAATGATGGATGTTGGATAAAACAGTAACATGCTCCTTGAGATTTCAACTAAAATTGTTTGAAAGGGGGAAGATCAGTTGGAATAACTGGTAATGTACTCTCCCACACTGTCAGTATCTTGTTCCAAATGAAAAAAAAAAATCAGATTTAAACTTTTATGTATTATGTATTAAATGCAGCTTCCCCTTCATCAAAGTGCAGTAGAAAGGTGAATACTGAAACCAAAATTACAGGGAAATAGGACTAACAGAGCCAGGAGCAAACACCCTTTTGTCCTTCTCCCAAGAGCTAACAAGTAATTATCTGCTCATAGTCCCCAAACAATAAAGATTGTTTTCTTCTGACCTTGTTCAGTTAACTTCCATTTCAGATCATCATTAATTAGATACGAAAAAATAGCTTGCCCAACTTTTTAGACTAACATGTAGACAGCTCATAGAAGGGGACAAAATGATTACTACTGAAGATATCAATTTGAGGATCAACAACCTTTCATCATGTTGCTTCATAGCTACTGATTTTTTTTAGTGAGCACTCTAATATGCTTAGTCATTGAAGGCATAATTTTGATTAAAGACTGCAATAACAAGACAATCCTAAAAGATTAAGTCATCCTGCTTTAAACACATCTGAACATTTCTGTATTATAGGTGTGCCACTAAATTGAAATACAAATAGTTGGCATTAATCACACTGTGCTAAGTCTTGTTTTGTGAAAAAAGTTTGAGAACTGAGAGATAGCTACACCCGTGACTTAAGTACTGCTTTGTTCAGTATTGCTTGTTCCCTCTCTATTTCAAGTAAATCCATAAGTTAAAATCAATGTCTTTTAAAAGAACTTAAAAAAACTTGTTAATTAATTAATCAACATGCCTTTAAAAGTTCAAAACCACAAAGAAATGCAAGCACTAGTCACCTTTCAGGTAAGATGGTAAGATTAACAGCTTTAACATTTCTCCTACCTTGCTAACCCAGCTTGATTCCTAGTCACGAAGAGATGCCAGATAATTTTTTCCTTAGTGAATTTTAATTGCATTCATCAAGGCAAGAAAAAAAAGCATTTTATTCAAACATTGCTTAATAGCAAAAACCAATACTGACACTCAGATTGCTTCTGGAAAAATAAAGTTCACTGTGCAGAGAGGCAGCTCTTGAACTTCCAGATTTCAAAGAATCAATTTTCAGTTACAGATAGCACCATGTTTTAGGACATTGACAGAGATTAACTATGTTGTAAGGAGTTGAAAATAAGGAGTTGCACCAAGTTAATGCAGAGATTTTAATTTTTTAGTGTAACTTTCAAAACAACTGTAAGCTTACCTTCAATTTTACCTCCATATTGGTATTTTCCACTGCTGAAGTGTGGTAAAGAAAATACAAGTGAGCCCAGTCCTAGCATAAATGCTGAGAAAGCAAGCCATCGTGGTTTGTGCCCTCTTTCTCCCAAGTAAGACACAAACAGTGACAATAAACAAAAAGCAATATCATAGCTTGCAGAGATTAAACCAGTGAGGGAACTGTTCAACTCATAACGCTTCTCAATTGTTGAAATACTAATGTTAATCAGGCCATTTACCACAATACCTACAAAAATAAAAGAAGGAGATAATTAGTCAAAGATACTTTAACTCAATAGAGTTGCAGAGCTAAACTTAGCCTTGTGTGATGGAAAAGTTAAAATTATATATATTTATACCAGACTGCTTTATAAGGTATTTACTAGCTATAAAATACAGGTACATAGTAGGTAATACAGTGCCAGCTTAGCCAGTCAAATCGTACAGGACCTATGTATTTGTCTGAAGCACAGCTTTCAAATGGAATGCTTTACGGTGTCATAAGACACTTCAAAAATTAAAGGTATTTTAGTCAAAGTTATAACTTGCATTAGAATACATGCTATGGCTGAACCAAGTTCAGGACATAGTTTTCTACTTACTGCAAACAACCAACTCTGTGATACCACAAAGGGAAGATAAAAGAAGGTGAACAAACATGAATCCTCTATAATATAAAAAGTGTAAAGCTATTCAATAATTCTTTGCAACTGTTTCAGAGCAACTGAGGTGATTTACTTCAACTGAGCAAGAAGGTTTGCCCCTTGAATCTCTAACTTCCCTGAAGTTACAGAACAACCTGCACAAGCTGCCCTACTGAAGCACAAATGAACTGCAAAAAAATTAACTGAAAGTAGAACTAAGCTACAATTGCCAGTGCATGCTTAAACACTCTGTCCATTTTTACAAAAGCACTGTTTGTAGACTAACTTATATCTTCTACGCTGCTTTATGTTGTGTTTCTGTGAAAAAGACTAGGTAGTTAAACTTTTGTAAGTTTGGTTTTAGCAATCCCAAAATAGGATTCAGTTACAGGATAAATAGTTGTAATTATAACACTGTCAGATAAATTTATTATAGTCTAATTAAATTGTACCTATAATAAAACAGATAACTGAAAAAAATAGTTGTGAAGTCTTAGGGCTGGAGGTACAAATATGTTTGAGTTCTGTAACCTTACAGATGACTGATGAGGATCTTCCCTGACACAGGCCCTTTAGTTACTCTAAAATTAAAACATGCTTTTCTATTGTCTATCTAAGAAGAGAATACAAGACTAGTGACAGAAATGTGTTTAAGTTAGTTTTCAACAAGCATTGCACCATCCATAAGTACAACTACTGGAGCTAAGTTTCAACATCTCCTTAGAGCACTTTAATTTATTAAAAAAATTACTCCAAATAAACCAGCCATTTTCTAATAGCCAAACGTCAGCTTTCTACATGGAAACAACTCTTGCACAATCTTAGTTCCAATACCCTACTTGGCCTCTTTCTTAAGGCTGACAATTTCACCTGTCAGTTTACTTATCACCCTTAAATTCATATGGGATTGACACAAGTATTCAGGTGTCCTTCCAGTGCCATTAGTTACACATTCAGTAACTTTATTTTCCTCTTAAGAAGAATTAACCAAAGAACAATACTAGCATGAAGGAATGAAAAAACAAATTTTTCCCATCTGCCAGACCTTCAACACTTACTAAGGCTTTAAAACACTTGAATGAAGGTGTGCTACACAGCAATGGATTACAGAGCTAGAAGGCATTGTCTTTTAGAGGTATTTTAAGTTACTACCTTTAATTTACATTCTAAAAACCCATAAAGCCTTCCATTTAATTATACTGTATAATTAGACTTCATCTTTAAAAATGCAGATGGGATAAATGGCAGCATAACTTCTCCAATTACATCATCCAGTGATTAATCACTGAAGTCTCTTCAAGAAAGACAGAACCTGGCTGATAGTAACTTGATCTGAAAACCAAATTCTGTAAGGACATCCCAACACTTAAAACTGCAGTATAGAAATTACCAACCAAAATCTTGTTGTCCTGCCACATGTGTTAGAGATTTAGGTACAGTGTGTACTGACACATAAAATCCAGATTAATTATAAACCAACTTTATTTGCTATCACAAAACACAAGAGTATTCTTTTTCTTCATCCATTCAACAAAAACACGTGTTTTGCAGTTGTCATAAGAATGGTGGCTTTAACAACACATAAAAATAACAATTAAAAATGCCTTGGTAAAAGTACCAGGTCTAATCAGCCTATAAAATATTAGTGATATTCAAAGATTTTAGATAGATTAGACTGGACAGTCTTAAACTGTGGTTCTGTTTTTTTATTTACCAAAAATTATTAATGACATGAGAAATAAACAGTCCTTCTTGTACTCAAAATAGTGAGATAATCTCTACCTTGTTTTCTACTACAGCTATTAACTGCAGCATATCCAGTTAATGTATTACTAGATGCAATCATACATTTAGGCAACTTTAAGTGCCATAGAGAAAGCAGGTATTAGTCATGTAAAAAAATTCTAGGCAAAGAAATGTTTTGTGCTCTGGAAATACAGGTTTCACATGTACTTGAAACAGAAAGGGCCAGAAATTAGAGTTAAGTTCCACCTGAAATCTTCTGAGAAGCTGCAATACAGCATATCAGGTGCTAATGACACCAATCAATTTTTGAGAGCAGCTAGAAAATATGCTGACAAATACATGCTTTCAGCTGGATTCACAACATACCAGGCCACTACAGATAATCATCCACTATGTTCACTCATTTAAAAAGACTAGGACAACAACTTACATTCAGCAGAAGTGTGTTATGGATTACTTCATTAATCTTCAATTCATTAAGAAATAATCTTTTCTAGAGGTACATTAGGCAAGTTTAATAGATATATCTTATCCTCCTCAGTGATGGTTTCTGTAATTTGGCAAGTAGACCCAAACTAGAGTACAATGTTAGGTCACATCACTTCAAAATCCTAGGTGTGTTTTGTGTGCTTTTATCTAAACTCTGAAGCTGCAAGACCTGAATATTTTCACAAAAATTTCACACACAAGCCTGAATTTCTTGCTGATGAACCTAGTTTTACGCATCTCAAAAAAGAATTGCAGCTAGTCTTCAGCACTCAGTTTCCTTTATGTTTTAAGCAAAGGAAAGATTCTTGTCAGAAAATCCAGGTAACACATCAGGAATGTCACAGGATCTGTAATAGCCATGCCTACACATGCTTCCAAAACAAAAATTATTCCGTTTCTGTCCTTTAAGGCCTTAAACCTGAACTACAATCATTAGGTGCCTGGCATACATATAGCATTAGATAACCAAAGCAATATTTGGACAAATGGCACAAGCAACACAAATAACCTCTTAAAGGGACAGAGATTCTTATAACACAAGTTGTTTTTACAGTTGGAAACCTATACAGTCTACAACCAAGATTTTAAAGTATGCTGAGTTTGTTATTCAGCTCAACAATCAGATCAGAACAGGAGGACTGATTTTAAGAAATTCAGACACATTAGAAATATTCAAGACACTATATTTAGTTTTAACAATCTTTTCAGTGTCATATTAAGGCATTTTTAATTGCCTATCCTTATTCTTATGCAACCCCAAAAAATTTATATGTGTATTCTAAAAGTCTTTTACTACTCAGCTACTATTGAAAGCTATGACGTAAAAAGTTCTTCCACAGACACACCCCACCCCCCACCTCTCTGTTTTCATAGAGAAAACAAATTTGGCAGGACAACTGCAACAGGAATCATCTCCTAACCCTACCAGCCAAAATTTCAAATTCAAGCAAGAAACAACAGGCTTATCCCAAAACTTTCTAAGTACTTCTTTTCTAAAACTAAACCTATATGCTAAGACAAGATCAGAATCTGAAGGGGATTAAATCAGAAAAAATTCTCAGGAACACATACTAAGGCCCTACTTCATGCAAGGAATCTCCAAGCATTACAAGTAGCATTAAAATCCTTCTAGGTTTTAAGCAGAGTCTCCAATTCTCCTCATACCATTCCAGTTGCCTCAGTGTGGTTCCCCATGGAATGGAGCCATCCAAATAATGTATTTCTTTGGTATAGGCTGCTCTCTCCTCTAACATCAAATATCCAAATATTCCCCTCCATACCTCTGTAGAAATCCCTTTATGAGTAATAACAAGGAGCTTCAAAGCAAATTGTTCAGGAAATACCCTTTTCTTTCCTAGCTAGTCAAATAAAGTTGAAAGGTTATGAATATAGACCAAATCACTCTCTTTGGCAGACACGTATCCAAGTTTCACAAACCTCACTTTTTAATATTTTTTACAGTAATTCTTCTCCTCCCCTCAGTGAGCATTTCTACTTTCTAAGTCTAAGGCTTGCTAAGGCCCTAATCAATCATTACAAAAAACCAAAAGTATGGACAAGAATCTCTGAAGCTGAAAAACAGGAATTTAGAGCAAGCTAAACTTCAGGTTATTCCCAAGGTCAACTTAAATCATTAGTTAAGTTTTAAGAAGATGGCTGCACTGTGATTCACAGAACAAAATCACATGTTTTTGCTGTTTTCAAATTTACTCAAAGTCCTACAAAACCAGGCCAGGATAATCTTCAATTAGCAAACAAGTAAAAAAGTAGTGGGGTGCTACAATTTTATATTGGTGTTTTAATCCCCAGATTTTAAGCCTCTGCCTGTGTGCGCACATGAAGAGCTATTTCCCTGTAGTCAGTGGGGATGCAGCATTAACAAGTGCATGAAGCAAAGAACCTGCAGGCGCGTGGACTTCGTCGTCAGTAAAGTACGTGGGAAAAGAAAAAAAGGACAAACGGAATGAGGTACAAGGAATACTGTGGAACGTCTCCATCCCGGGCACAGAAGAATGTATACTGTCGTCCCTTAGTCAAACCATTACCGTCACTGTTCAGCCACAGCACTAGACGAACCCTGTCTCTTCTGACCCACCACCTAAAACTCCTTCGGCGCTCTCCCCAGCCCAGGCTCCCGCCCGGTTCCCCCAGCCCCGGGAAGGGGAACAGCGTGTGCCCTGGGCAGCAGGGACAGGTTACCTTGGAAGATGGCCAACAGGCTATAAGCAACCAAGTACCCCTCAGAATTGTTGCAGAACTGCAGAGCTCTGGGGGCGCAGGGACCCCACCCGCATGGCCCCTCCTCGGGGCAAGGGCCGGGCCCGGCGGGGGCCGCAGCGCCGGCGCCTGCCCCTGCCCCGGCGGGCCCCGCGTGGTACCGCTGGCCGAAGTCGGAGGAGGGTGTGTCGAACGCCGGGTTCTCGATACCACCGCCCTTCATGGCGCCCAAAAAGGCCGTTGCCAGCCACGGTTGCAGGCAGCACCCGCCCCCAACGCTCTGCTAAATACCCCGAGGGCGGCCCGGCCCCGCCGCGCAGGTGGCGGTGCTTCCGCCGCTCCTCCCCGGCCCGCCTCGCTCCTGCCCCCACTCCTGCCCCGCGACCGGCCCTACAGGGACATCTCCCCGCACCGCGGCCTCGTAGCATCAACAGCTTTGAGAGATTTACTGAACGTCGAGCAGGTGGACAAGCATGTAGATGTTCTCCAACAACATTCTTCTGAGGGGAAAAAGAAGTAATAGTAATAATAATAAATCACGTACCTGGGAAAAGTCATCAGGAATGTTCCTTTCGAGAAGCAGAAAAAAAACCAAAGACATTAAAATGTTCTGTGTAACTGTTGCAAAAAAGGGAAAAGTTGCAAAATGTACCAGATACAGTACTTTCCCACTTGAGGCAACATGATTTGCCCACAACAAAAATTCTGGACACTCACAGATGCTATCCTTTTGAAATATTATTCTCTTCCTGTACCTCAGAAAGTTTCCACATGCCGGAGTTCCAAGTCATTAAACACATTGACTTAGTTACAGACATCAATCATGAGAATTTGTCAAGGGCATAAGAAAGTCTGAGTTTGTTTGCATTTAGTATAAATAGACTCATCTTCACAACCATAACTAGGAGAGAGTCTGGGGATCCAGACTGAGAGCTTTCACCACGGAGGTTCATCTCTGGGCAGTACAAGACAGTCCTGAAAAGTTCTTCCCTTTTAAAGAGTCCAAGACATTTCAGAATCAAGAGAAAGAAGATTGAAACCAGAGGCATCAGCAGTGACTTTGGTTTCAGAGAGAAAGCCAGGGCATCATCTTGAATTCCCTACTGTTCTTAGATGCAGGCACACATTTTCCAGTATTTACATAACAACACAGAAACTTAATGGAGACATTCTTCTGTAAAATGAAAACAAGTAAGTTAGATGAGAGAATATGTTTCTATTTATTCAAATAGGTTGAAAATGGAAAATCAGCTGTTATTGATGTTTCTGCAGCATCTTGTAGGGACAGTGTGTGGTGGCTAGAGCTGGAAGGGCATGGACTTCCCTGAGTCTTCTCCACCCTCCTCCTTGGCACCTCAGGGTCCCTCCAAGGTGCTGTCCCACACCCACAGCCAGAATTCACCTTCCCAAGCCAACAGGAGTGCAGAAAGCTGCTTCCCAGTGAAGCAGCTCTGCTGGTCACTGATGATCCCAAGCCCTGAAATTTATTGTAATTTCAGGCTTTAATCCAGCATGTTGTTTCCTTAAGTGGCTATCAAGATATATTCCAGTTAACAGTTTCATGAGAGGTCTAAGAATATACCTAAACCAGCTGGCACACCAGTCTGTTTAAAGGAACTTCTTTTTGTGTTTCCGGGTTTTTTTTGTTTTGTTTTCTTTTATATCCTCCTAATTATAGTAAAGTAAGACATGCCATTTGAAATAACATCCTGATCTTTGATAGAGTTCCTACATGCTTGTATAGTAAGAGTAATCCATGAAATTGCTTAATTATTATACTGCTAATAAGACATGAAAACCTCCCTTGATCTGCCAGATCAGCTAGGTTTGTTGTTACCTTCATCTAGTTGTCACTCTGCCAATTGGTGGCATTGTTTTATCACCACAGGAAGGTGACAGAACGGAAGGCAAAAAGAGAAGCTAATGGAGCTTGGTATGAAAAAAAAGTGTCTTCAGATGAAGCAAATAACATTTTTAAGAAAACTGGGGAGGAGGGTAGCATTGTGGTGTCCAGTGTAAGTCTAATCTGAAAATTAAATAGGGAATTGAATAATCAAGGAAATTAAATTGGGTTGAACTTAGAAGAGTACAGATTTTAGGAGAAACCTACAGGGACAGGAAAAGACAGACAGAGAATAAAATATGTGTCTTTGTGCTGGTTATGTCCCCAAAAGCAATTTACAGAGAAATGCGGAAGCTTTAACCAGCTGTTATAAATTGCTTTACTCTGAGACAGTATCTAAAGCCATAACAGACATTTAAGTTCGTGGCATTTAAGACTGGACACAAAACCTACCTGAAAATGGCAAAATATAAGTGGTTTCTTTGATAGTATCTAGACTGCTCAGATAAAAAAAAAAAAGACTGTGAGGTGAATTTGGTGAGGTATTCGCCTAGACCAAAGATGCTCATCAAAAGGGCAAATATGACCAACAGTTTATGTGTGTATTGAAGTCAGAGGTATCTGCTAAAATTCTTTTCTATGTTATCTATATAGTGTACTACTTGTATCCTCAACTTCAGATGGAATAAATTTTGCAGGATTAAATGGGCAGAAATATTACAGAGAAGTTTGTTTTTTACCAAAGGTGAAAAAAACAAGCTCGTTCAATCTAAAAAGTTGAAGTGTTTAATGAAATATGCAACCATAAGAAAAAAGATAAAATGCAACAGACACTTTCAGAACAAATAAGCAAACTGACTACAATTAATTTTCTCTTTTCCAACTAATTAATTTTTTCTTTGACATTAGAAGCCTTTTAATCTTCAGTAGAGGTGAGGTTTTGGAACAAAGTAGTAATGAATTTACAGAACTTTAAAATTCCAAATGGAGATGTATCAAGTTATAACCAGGATAAAGAAATGAGAACTGATTATCTAGGAAGTCCCTTTCAGTCCCTAAGTGTAAAGGAGGTATAAAAAACCATATTCTAGGGAAAGACGTTTATTACAGAAAAATATAATAAAATTTATACTGGAATACTTTGCAGAGAACATGTTTTAAAGAAAACAACTATTTTAAAGAAAAAAAATTGCTAAATTTGTAGAAGAATTATAAAATTGTGGCCCTTTGAACTTCACAGTATTGTGTTTGATCAGCTACTGAGTCTGCATCCTCACAAGTCATGGTTGTCCAGTTGCATGTTATCATGCCATGTCACATTTCTTGTAGTCATGGGAATGCCAGATAATACCTGTGGTTATGTTTAAGAAATATTAATTGCATTATGAAGTCTCAGAACTGCCATTCTCTGTCAAGTAATTGAGATTTTGCAATCAGATAATGCAGATAGGGGAAAATGCATATTCAAAATATTTTTTTCAAGGATCTCAAAGCCATCCCCTCTCATATAAAGGCCAAGTGGAGCACAGACCCACTCTCATATTGCAAGATTATCTCCCAGAAACTCAGTAAAACATTTTGTCAATACAATATTTCCTTTGAGTCAGCCAGCTATAAAATAAGATGCAAAGTAGATTACCTAGGGTCCTTAGAACAAAGTTTCCAGGCAGCTTTTGAGTATTTGCTGAATGTTTCAGACTTCAAATGCTTGCACAACTTTATTTCTCATACCTTGCCACTGACAAAAATCCTCCTCTTTTAGTTCTTTTGTCTCTACTAGCTCTTTCTGCATAATTTTCTACTATTTGGGCTGGGTCAGAATTCATGCAAAGAATACTATGAAAAAACAATATTACCTTTATTTTTTTTAACGAAGAATCTCCTCTTGTATCTTCTTTTTAAATTTTTTCCAGTTATGAAAATTAGTCTTGAATTTTTACATACTTTTTGCTATTTAAAAATGCAGCTAGCACTTTTACCAAGTATATTTCCTGTTTTTAAGAGGAATTTTAGTAACCAGACAGAGTCAGAATGAAATAGCAATTAGTCTGCTTGATTGACTTGTAGAACTAAGAATTTTATATATTAATTATTTTTTCTAGACTATCTTCATTCTTTTGTAAGATCTTAATCCTTTTCCAGTCCTGGTGGTGTGTTTGTTCTCAAAATAATGTTTAAAAAATGCATTTTTATTGCCTATGTGTAGTTTTTCTACTTATTTATGTAAAAATTATCTGCTTTGGTCTTTTTTTGGAAACCCTAATATCTTTTTAAGTGAAAAAAGAAAACCTAGAGCTATGTACACTTCTATAGGATCTAAGCAGCTGTCTGTATCTCCAAATCCTATTGTGCCTCAAGGAAATCATATTCCTCTGTCACCACAGTAGTATTTATTTAGAGTCTTGTATCTACATAAATTACAGCAGTGTAGCTTTTAGTTTGGACTGTACCTAATTTTGACACTAGTATCGGCCAAAGGAAGCAATATCAACTTTCCTATTTTGAATATATGACAAATGAGATGTTTTCTTGAATCTTTTTTAAGGCATCCCATTTTAATTCTTGGGAAGTCCAACCAACATATCCTGAAGTGAAACACATTTAAATCTGTGCTTGTTTGATTACTATGTTAGTGATACTAGGAGGGTTAAAGGGATATCCTACAATTTATACCTATAGTTATTCCCATAATTTATTAAGCTGCCTAACTAATATGCCTCAATATGGAAACTTAAGGCTTCTCCTGTTTTTGTCTCAATGCCATAATCTTTTTGTTTCAGCCAAACCTCACCTGCTTTCTGTAACCTTCATGTTGTTTGAGCTGTAAACATACTCAGGGCCACTACCTAATACGATACTACTACCACTACCAGAGTGATTGATTTTTCAGATAGTAAGTTTCATCCTTGGAATTTTCCTACCCTTGAAATTTAATGAGTAGAGCAACAGAGAAGAATGAATTATTTCTTTTCAGAAACACTAGTTTCAGTATTTTCTAAAACTGGGAATTCTCTTCTCTTTTCTTTTTGCCTGGTTCACAGATTGAACAAAATGAAATTAAATTGGATCTGCTTCATTGTTTGTTTCATCAGCAAATAGATGGCCTCTAGTGGCAGGCAGCTAGTAAAGCTTTATGATATACAGTAAATTCTGCATATCCAGAGCAGGAAAATTCACAACGTTTCTGTCTTACATACTATGCTTACAATAATGGCAGTTTGTTTTTTTAGCAGTGAATTTGCTCTAAATATAATGTTCATATTGCAGGTGAAAATACACAGCCCCTCTATATTAAATCTGCTTCACTGGTTTCATTCCCAGGTAAGTTCTACTCATCATGGGTAGAACTTTGGGTAGACCACACCTGGAGCTGTCCAGTT